ATTTTCTTGAAAATGTTTTTGAGTTGTTTCTTTAATTTGGGTGTTATGTTGTTTTTAGTGTATTGTGTCAGCCTGCCTAATTGCTGTCTAATGTCATTTATTTGTGTTTCTATTCTTCTCTGCCAGGCAGGCTTGTGATAGGATTGTGTTTTGTGTGTGTTTGTCTGTGATTGTATTATTATTATTATTATTATTTAAAAAAATCATCTTTATACAAAATATCAATAGTTAAATTTTTAAATATAATAGTTTTCAGGTTAAGCATTAATTATAATAGTTATAAAAAAACTAACCTATACTTGAAATATCTCTCAACTGTTCTTTGTCTGATACCATATTATTACATAAAGTATCTACTATGGTTTCAACTTGATATTCTTTAACTTTATTTACCAAAGGTCCTAAACTGAAATAGAAAAATAATTTAATTAAATAAATATGGTAGCAACTAAGAAAGATGCTATTGATTACATTAGTCATTTAAATATCAATTATAAAATTTTCTAATTTGAAAATTAAAGAATTTAGTAACTAAAATCTAGACATAACTAATTCTTATAAAATAAAAATGATTATAATTAAACAGAAATATAAATTTTTTATAACAAAAGAATCTGGTTCAAAATTACCTGACAAAAAAATCTGAAAAACTATATTCTTGATTTTTCAATAAATATTACAAAGTAATACTTATTCACAAAACACATCTATTACATCAGTATAGCATCAAAAATGTATAAAATGAAACACATATTTTGAAAATTACATCAAATAACATTTCATTTATTTTAACTAAATTAAAATATTTCTCATAACTAATTACATAATTTGAATAAAAATAAAATTATTATAAAAACAACTAAATAGATCCTTACCATTTGACTGCAAGATTCTGTACTTCACATTTCATTTATTTTAACTAAATTAAAATATTTCTCATAACTAATTACATAATTTGAATAAAAATAAAATTATTATAAAAACAACTAAATAGATCCTTACCATTTGACTGCAAGATTCTGTACTTCACCGTTTTTATCTTCTAATAATTTTAACAACATTCTCACAACTTTCCTTTCACTATCATCATCTAATTTTATTGAATCCTTTTGTAACTCAGCCATTAAATCATTTGTTGCCATAAAACGAAAATCTTTATCACTGGAAGTCATCTATTAACACACAGAAACAATTCAAATATAAAATAAAATGTAAAAGTTTTATAAAATTCATGTGTCATTATGCTTATGAAAATATTACAGAAATAAATCTTATTTTTATGCTTTACTATCAAAATATGTTAGCATATAATTTGGATATATTATAGAAATTGAAAACTAATTCATAACATTCAATAACACTTTAATAATCAAATAATCAAATTACAAATATAAACATGTATTATCTTGTTAGATTAAAGCCAAATTATTAAAATATAGTTCTATATTAATTTAATTATAATTATTAAATTTATCAAGGAGATTATTATAGCCTGATGTAATCCAATAATCATTGTAACATTAAGTTACTTAAATATTTTGTATATATGTTTAAGACAAACAAGTCTTAAACATATGTTTAAGACTTGAAACTACTACTTCACACTTAGGTGTGAAGTAGTAGTTTCAAGACAAACATTAAACTAAACAAATGTATAAAAGACATCATCAAAAATAATACTCTCATTGACAAAAAAGTTTTCTGTACTAATAATGTGTGATATCTCAATTTGAAATCCTATGCTGTTTTTATCATAATGGAACAAAATGAGAATTTATTGTTTATCTATAATGGAACACACATTCTTCAATTTATATGAACAGTTCTTGATCACATTATTTTTGAAGATAACTCTAACCAAGACATTAATTTTCAATCACCATAATTCAGAATTCTATACAGCTATCCAATTTCTCATCTGTATATTTACAGAAATTTTCAATATTTTTTAAAATTATTAATAATTGTACATGAAAACATTTGTAGATGAAGCTGGAAATAAGATAACTAATTATTACTAGCACTTTAACACTTCTTCCAGCAATTATTTTCTTAGAAAAAGAAACATTTTTGACCTCTCCAGGTATATGAGCAGAAAAAATTTGAATGAGATTTCAAAAGTTTGATGAAATTTTAACACAGCTAACAATGTTGGAATGTTCTATACATTTGGAAATTTAAATAGCTTCAAAAAATTGTATAAAAAAAATAGAGGATCAAATGAAAAACAATATACAAATTGAATATATTACATTACATCCACTTCCTTATCCCTATATCTTATATACATTAAGTAAGGCTTGCCTAGGCCCATGGAAGACAAAATCTGTCTTTATTGTTAATGCAACCTCCAATTCATGTTTGCATGTAAATTTCTATGACTTCTGATATTTTGAGTCTAGATTTGTCAAAAATTATTTCTAAAAGAATACCTTCATTCCAGCTTGGTATTACACCAGTTTCACAAGCATATTAGTCTGATGGTTGAATGGTCAATGTCTGAGGAACATGGGATCAAATCCAGATGGGTTGAAAAATCCACAGGAATTTTTTGGAGGTGGTCTGTCCAGATATGTTGGACACTGTCCATCACCACCTGGCCATCCTATTGTGAGCTCAGCTAAATCCATAACAGGCTTGCTAAAAGAGGTCCTCTTAGTGTCCACAGGGCAGAGAGTTCCTTACAATACTCATTTGTTACATTTGATTCGAGTTTCTTTGTAGCAGAACACTCAATTTCCATAAATAATTTCATGTTGTAGCATGCATCTTCCAAAGTCAAAAAGAGTGCCTCCAGAGTTTGCAATGTGGGATTCACTCTTTGGTCTGTTTTCTTCTTCATCCTTTGCTTCAGTTATGGACTTCTGTGATTCTGTACAAGCATTTTCTGTCTTTAGTTCTATGAAAATCAAATCTTTATAAACTTCCACAAAATTGTTGAAGAAAACACCTTCAAGCAGTAGAACACTGGGTATGTCCTTCAAATTTCTCTTTTCTCCATTGATATTTTCACTGATAAGAACATCCACTTCTATCGAAAAATCTATTTTCTAAAAGCAGTTGGAAATGACAGACATTGGAAATGACAGTTGGAAATGAGTTGACATTGACAGGCATTTTCTCCCAACAGACATTGAATCTCTATATAGCTTGCAACACATTCCATATCAGTGTTGCTATATTAACTTCTATCTTAATATATTATGTCCATATGTTTCAACAGATATTAAACTGGATCATGCTGATACATATGCTTTAGCCAAAAAATGATGTCTGGACTCAGGATGTGGCTTGCTTGTGCAGTTCAGAGGAAAAATCACCATCTTCACATTCTTTAAAGATAGTCCTTCTATATATCTAAAGGAACCTGAGGAAGAACCTAGAAGAGGTTCGAAAACGTTTGTTTTTTGTTTCGTCGATCGTACCACACGTTATATTGGTTCAGTGTACGTGTTTGATAGTCCTTCTAATTTATGAGCTGGGCATGAATCAATAAATAGGATAATCTTGCAATTGTGAAAGCCCATTGTTGAATCCAGACTTTTAAGCCACTTTTGGAAAATTACAGTAGTTATCCATGCATTGGAACTGTGCCTGTAGAAGCATGGTAATTGCTTTATAGTCTTGAAACATGTCTCTGTGAATTTTCCAATAATGAGAGATTTCAGTTTTCCTGATCCATCCAAGCTGGTGCAGAAAGTCCTTTCCTTGCTTTTCTTATTATCATGATATGTCTGTCCTTTGTGGAATAATGTTTCATCAGAAAGAATAGTAAAAAACAGTCCCATTTCATCTGCTTATAAAATGTCTTTCTTCTCATAACCATCAGTCAACAATGTATTCTTTTGCTTCCAATCAACAACAGTGTCATAAACAGATTCCTCCTTACCATGTTTTTATGGAGGAGAGATTCCATCTCTTTTTGAAATGTCTTAGCCACCTATCAGATGTCTTGGAATGACAGGCTTCATCCTATCATTCCAAATTTCAAAGCCTTCTGCTAAGCTTTTTCTTGTAATGTAACACCATTTACTGAAAGTTTGGAATTCTTAGCCATAATTAGCTAGTCAAAGATCTTAGCATCCAAATAATCATTTGCACATGGTTAACCTGATCCATTTTTCTGATCTGGAAAAAGTATATTTTGCAATTTTCACACAACCAGCAATGATTGTTGAGAAGCTCAATTTGGAAATGCCAAATTTCTGGACTACCTCTCTTTTCTTTTGATTCTCATAAACAGCTTTCAGAATTTCTAATTTCTTTGTAACAGAAAGATGCTTATGCTGATTTCTGGTACTGTATAATTGGAACAGTATAATTTACAGTTAAATTATCTTATTTTATATAGAGTACAATGTAGAATATGTATTACAATACACTAACCTCAATAAATGCACCTGTAGGAAAAACTGTTACAGCTGAGATGACTAAATGTATGACAAATCTTCAAAAGGAAAGATTCATGGGAAGTTTGCCATACCAGTGACAGAAGACCAAAATGCAGAGAATATAGACATGTCAAGACATTAGAGAGATAATTTTTAGGGTAAATGACAGTTAAAAATTGTTAAAAACCATTATACGTTGTCTTCTGCACACACAATGCTAGCTAATGACTTTTGGAAAATGATGTATTAATTTCTCACAATGTAAGAAATTTTTGAGATATGTCAAGAAAGATGATCTTGTTAATTAGAACATCCCACCGAAAACAATTTGTTATTTCAAACAGAAATTATATGTTATTATATAGAGAATTGATCAGGACTAGCCTAGAACTTTTGTTCACTAGTTAGGATGTTCATAATTAGAATATTTACTATATTAGCATTAAAATAAAAAATAAGTCTGTTAACTCTTGCAATTTAAAATGGGTATATTGAACATTTAACTTAATTTTAAACCTAATTTTATTTGTCACAGATAACCTCCACCCACTGCTCATCTGACATCACAGATATTAACAGGATACACAGGACCCAAAATTGAGAAGGATAATGAGCCAACCCAATCCTAGAGCATTTTTCATTTCAGAATCCTTTGTGTGTCTATTGTTTCTTACATAGTAATGGCTGTAAATACAGTGGTATCTCTAACTTCAAACATAAATTTTAACAGTTAAACATCCAGAGTTTAATTGTTAAATTCAAGAAAATTCAACCCAGAATTCAAATGATGTTTCTATGTTTGAACTGCGAATGCAATGAAAAAATGCACTCACTGCATAAATGCCATCTGTTGTGGACCCAAGTTATCTCTTCTGTTATGCTTGTGCGCTTTCAGTGCTTATTTTGCTGTATTTTTGGTGCTTGGTTATATAACCACTACCCACAAACCATGGCATCCAAGGAGAGTGAGGAAGCAGTGAAGCCTAAGAGGAAGGTTGTAGTATATCGATGAATGAAGTGAAAAAAAAACACTTATTGCAAAGCATGAAAGTGATACATATTTGGCAGATCTGACAGCCATGTTTATGATTCCAACGTCAATGGCGTGCATCAATTTTAAGAACAAAGAATCAATAAAAGCTGCAAATGCAGAGTTTTTGCTGTTATTCATCAACTCTAAGAAAATATTTTAAAAAACAGCCTGTCCCCAAATAAAATTTTCAAATTCAGAATATCATTACTATTTGCCATTACAAATAAATGAATGCAAATGAATGACATTCATTTATGGCATCATTATCATTTTGATTTATTTATTTTTAAACTGTATATTATAGAAATATCTACCGAAAGAATTTGTCGGATTAATTAAAGAGACAACCATTCACAAATTGTAGAAATATGTTTTATATTAATTAAAGTAACATTCATATAAAATTTAAATTATTATTAAGTAACTTAATAATAATTTTAAACCTAATTTTATTGGTCACAGATAACCTCCACCCACTTGTGAGTTAAAGACAGCAGTATATAAACCTTCATGTAATGCTTTCTAAACAGTAATTGGATGAACAAAACAGAATTTCATTAGCCTATTGGACAGACTGACAATTATAATATATCTGGTCTTTACCATATAAGGCAGTTTAGATATTTCATTAAATAAAATTATACACACAATTCACTTCATTTGAGAATGATATATACATTTTGAATTATGTATCAATAGTATAATTTTTAGTATCAGTTCCTTAGTCTACTGACGATATGCTACTACT